TCGTGAGCCCGCTGCCCTTTCTTCGGGCACCACAGCGGCCCCTGGTGGGCAAAAAGTGTAATTGCAGTGCCTCCCCAGCAGAATGGATTGTTCTGCGAGGGGTGGGGGTGACATCTCTGGGGGACATGAATTCTGTGCTTTGTTTCTTTGGTTTAAAAAGTGGGGGCGGGCATGACCCCCCGCCCCGGCCTCCCCCCAGTTCCAGCACCAGTGAGCAAAGAGGACGAGGTGGAGTCCTTTGAAGCTTCCTGCTGCCACCCTCCTCGTCTTGACCTTGCTCCAGCACATGCCGCTCATGGGCATCCTTCTCGTGGCTGGTCCAAGGAGGTGCCATGCGTCTATGGCTGCCCTTGAAGGTGCTGGTTGCCTGACATGTTCCCCCCCCACAGATTATGGGCAAGGAGCATCTAAGGGAGAAGAGGAATGGAAGCCTCAAGCTTGGGGGAGGAGGGTGTGGGGCAGGATCAGGACCCTGCATAGACTGGCTGGCAGAAGAACCTGGTCCGTGTCCGTGAAGCCACGTTGGGGGGTGACCATGGGAGCATCAAGCTGCTCTAAACTCCTGGTTTAAGCCAAAGCACCACATCCCTCCACATGTAGCCTCCTTCCGCCCTTCTCTCAGCGTGATTCCCCTGTCGACGGGGACTTCATCTGCTCCCATGTCTCCTCTCCTTATGCCCGGGCTTCCCATCCAGCCCAAGGGCTCTGCTCCTGTCCCCCTGACCCACGCTCCACTCCCCTAGGTGCCGTTCGAGAGCACCGATAACCAAGGCATCGTCTACACCTGGGTGGGCCGGGCCGCTGACCCCGAGGAGGCCAAGCTAGCCGAGGAAATCATGAACCACATGTTCGACGACTCGTACAGCAAGCAGGTGAGGCAGGACGGAGCCTCTGTGGTCGTGGTCCGGTGGCTGGTTCTCAGTGGCGCTCTATGCCAGAGGGGCAAGGCTGTTCTAGCCAGCATCGGCCAGCCACTGCTCCCTCTGGGGTGCAGCCATGGAGAGCGGAGCCAGGGAGAGCTCGGTCCTCTCCCTGCCTCTGCTCCCAGAACCCTAGAGCAGGAAGTGACTCGGGATTCAACTGAAACCCTCCAGACCCCTGACCCCTCCGCTCTGTGTGCCAGGTGATAAACGAAGGGGAGGAGCCGGAGAACTTCTTCTGGGTTGGCATCGGGGGCCAGAAGGCCTACGACGAAGACGCCGACTACATGAAGTACTCACGGCTGTTCAGGTGCGTGCCAGCAGCTGCTGTCCCAGGAGCCCATGGGCAGAGCATCCGCTGGGTAGACAGGTCCTTGGCTGGTCAGGGCTCCTGACATCCGTTCGCTGGGTGCCTGTTTGAAACACGGGCTCGCACGTCTCCTCCCCAGCCCTGCTCAGCCTGCTCCTTAAGCCACCAGGGTAGTCTCTGCCTATTTGGGCTGGCCCTGGGGGGAGGAGACCCTAGGCACTGTGACCTGCTGGCCACTGGACTGGTAGAGCTCAGGAAAATGTTCCCCAGGGCTCAGCTGAGATCTGACAAACTCATGGCCACTGGTGCCCAGGATTTGCCCTGGACAGCCAGGCTGGCCCAAGGCAGGGCACGCCTCCTCGCTAACGGCGGCTTGGCTCTCTGCTGCAGGTGCTCCAACGAGAAGGGCTATTTCTCCGTGTCGGAGAAGTGCTCCGATTTCTGCCAGGATGACCTGGCGGACGACGACATCATGCTGCTGGACAACGGCCGGGAGGTGAGTTCCCAGGGCCTGGCGCCCCCGGTGCAGAGTGGGCTGTAGCCACATGATTGTCCTCGGTAACTCTTCTGCATCCTGCAGCCGGGTTTAGGCTCCCTTGTAGGGAACCTC